GAGGGCGTAATGCAACGCATCATATTCCAGGAACGCATGTTGCAAAATTATTTATCTATTTTAAAGTACGACAAATTATTCTTGAAACTCATGATGACTCATACATTTTGACTGCCATTGGAAATCTCAAGAATCCACTCACCCCTTGGTCATGATCAAGATCGCAGGAACAACAAACGCTGCTCCGGAAACCCGTTGCATGGATCCAACTAATCTCAGTCCAAGCACAAACAATGCTGTGGCTGAATACGCTGATGACAAGACCTATGTAAAGTCGTTTCCGGATTAGAAAATTGAATTAAAAAAAAGGAATAATTACTAAGTATACGATAACAAAAGAGGGGCTCACTTTCAAAATGCCTTCCAATATTGACGGAAGTCGATGACCGAAGGCGTAGTTTCCGGCGATGCCGAGAGCAGTCATGAGCACAACAGGGTTCAGACTCACGCCGGTGAAAATGTCCAAAGCAAGCACAAAATTTGACTTCTGCAAGGAGTCGACCTCGCCCCTTTTGACGCGATCCCGACGCTTCTGGTATTCCATCAACACGAACCCGATCGGGTTCAAAAACACCAAGGATATCGGCGCCACTAAGTACAAATACGACGGGAATTCCGGGTACGAATTCCTGTACAACGAAGCAACTGCGGAGAGATATAATCGGTTTCTATATTTGATCTTTTTCAAAAGGACTGTTCCCATCATCGGTGAACTCACTTATGGGATAACCCAGCGCAAAATCGTTGCTTTGTGTGCAGAAAATCGCGAAAAGCCCGGCTTTGCCAAAGTCGATGGGTCTTTCAACCAAAATCGTCACAAAAACGACCAATGCGAAGACCAAGGCTTTCGAAATAGATATTGAGAAAAGAAATGTCCAATTCACGGAGCTAAAAAACAAAAAAGGAAAAAACGAATACGAGCCATTCTATATAAAAAATTCACGAATTAATGAGTGTCTCATTCAAAATATACCTGAAATCCAAAGCAGCCATCGAATTGAAAATCAGAGCAGGAAGAGCGAATGTGCCGACGAAAGTATTCAGTCCTTTGGCATCGCTCGTTGATATGAAGTTTGCTCTTCCTGCCAAATAACTGCAAATGAAATTTGACAGAAATGTTTTCGTGCACATGAAAAAATACTTGAATTTCATATGCGAAATCTTTGAACTCCGAGATTTAAAAAGATGATCTGCACCTTTCCAAAGAAAAATAATGCTGTATATAAATTTCACAATTCGCCAAATTGAATCCAGGGAAACGATTTCAGACAAAGTTTTCTAAATTATTGCGATATCATGACAATGTATTCTTTAAACACTCGATAAAAAGTACGCAGAAAATTACGAAAATAAGCCCGGCTTTGCCGAAGTCGAAGCAACGCATTAGTGTAATGGAACGTTCCTCGAATTTTATTTTAATTCTGAAAAATGCTCAAAAATCAACATCGATAAAAAACATTCTTCAGTCCTCACAAACATACATTTTGAATTGAATGGTGAGAAACTAAGCGAGATTTCGTTAAAAGTTGGTCTACTGAGGCGATGAAACGAGACTTTTTCGCCCCTATGGCGCAAGTGTTTTTTTTTTTTTTCATGGATCTGCGGTATAAATGTTGAGAAATCATTCTTAAAAATTAACATAGAAAAAAATAAGCTCATCGACAGTGAGAATCTTTGTGCCTACCCACAAATGATGACAAAGAAGCACTCTACCACAGCAGGGTACAAGTTGTCCAAACTCAACTCTCCACCGGCGACGACTTCTTCCGTAAAGTTCGAGGAGTTCCTGGTCATCATGTCGTTCCACATGGTGCCGGGTACGAGAGAGGATGTTCCGTGCTTCTGATTTAAAAAAAAAGAAGCAAAGTGTATTACTCGAATCAACTGTTATACAGAATCATACTACAGTAATTTGAATTTGACACGCAGTACATTTTTTGGGCGGAAAAATGCTTGAAAAATCGAAGTGGGGCGCGAGTTTCATATTCGATGACGCACATTTGCAATGACGTTTAAAATTCGATATTAGCAAATAAAAAACTGCATGATAGTCGCTTAAGGCTGACTAATACTCTGCCATGATTCAAATTTAATCTGAAATCCAAGCGAATGAACTCGTTTCACGATTTTGAATTCTTCTGGCACACATGATACAGATTTTAAAAAAAAGAATTCCAAAGAAAATACGCGGATGACGGCTCAATGAGTAATGCAACATGATTTGGGAATTCAGCTGGGGAATAAAAACGCGTCTTGCATTTTCAGGCAAATTTTTCTTCACGCGTATATTATATTCAAGGCGCAACATAATGAAAAAAGCATTGTACTGAATGACATCTGAAGCATAACATTTTTACTATATGCCGTAATTTTTAGTTGCTGAATTAGTCTGAAGTCACTTTTTTCCTAAATCGCCTTCGTGAACGAAAATAAAACACGAACTTTACCTCAGGCCCGAGAATCAAGCTTGACTCAAGATTCGCAACTTTTTGCAACTTTCCAGCACAAAGCTTGGGCAGATCGTAAGTTCCATAGTGCAGCGCCTGTGAAAGAAAAAAAAATTCCAAACATACCTGATTCCATCTTTCCAAAGCTGGGCAATAATTAGGCATGAAAGAAAAATCGTTTTTGAATCTACTCACAAAGAGATTTTTTTTCAAAGCATATACGCAGGTACTACTGGTAATCGAACGACTCTACTATCAGAATATCATACTGAATATTATTTTTAGAAGTAAACGAAGAAAATTGCCGATTTAATGATGCGAACAAAGCTTTTGTCGAACGCAATATCTTCTCTCGGCTCAGTAACCAACTGGTTCAATTACGCAATCACAGGAAAACTTTTTCCTTTGTAGTTTTTCCATCCATGAAAAAGCTCGTTCTCGGAATCGTCAAGTGCGACGACTGCAATTGCACTTATTGCACACATCACATTTAACAGTTTTTTCATCATCTTCTTTCAAATAAATCCCCTTTCATTTCATTGAAGAAATGACCGAAATTCGTCTAAAAATATTCTGGCAGTCGAAGACTTTCGAGGCATTTTTCCCCGGGAAGCAATCGAAATAAAATCCGTGTATTAAGGTATTCATACCAGGAAATAAATTTCAACTTTCTTGACAGCAAGCGTTACATTTTACATTGTCCATCACATTTAAATTAAATCGTTATTCTCACAACACGTTTTCTCGCGACCTTTTTCACATACTTTATGCAAACTACTGCAATCGACAAGATCAGCAACAAAATTGAGGTAATTTCAGTGGGATGCGACCAATGGATCAAATTACCCGCATTGTTGAGAAGCTTTTCTATGTACAACTATTTAGAGACTATCGCATCTTATGTAAGGGGATCGATTTTTTTCTTCTTCACATAAAGCGTAATAAAAAATAAAACAATTCAGGTTGAAAAGTCAGATATTCACGAAATATCTCAAATCAGCCTCATGTTCCGCCAAAAGTGATCACCATCAGTGTTTATACGCTTTTCCAGGTATTAAATCGAAGGCTGATAGCTAATAAAATCTGGAGATGATCTTGCACGAACTGCTCTGAAAACTACAATATTCTATTGTCAGTTGAGAAAGTTTTTACGTCCATTTCATCAGGGCGGAAGTATGAATAACTTTTTCTCGAATCATACATTTTAGCGCATGTTTTGAAAATACAATTGCCGTGCATGGATTTCTTCCACTGTTTTATCTGTACTGTATATTTTTCATTGCTTGCTGAAACTTTCTCGCTGCATCAAATAAACAAGTTTAAAAAAGGTTTCTTCAAATGGCGATGTTTCCTTTTTAGTTACAGTAGAACTCGGTTTATCGAAAATCTTGTGTTCACCCCCCCCCCCCCCCCAATCTTCCCCAAATACAGTGATGTAATTTCGAGAATCATCGGATACCATCCGTATTTTTCTTCGGAGTGGTTAAAAAACTCAAGCCTGTCAAATGGCACTCCATTCAAATCCTACAAGTGCGCGAAACTGCTGAGTGCTGAATATTTATAACCTGCTCTTCAGAGGCCCACAAAACGGCTCAACTGGCAATTGCATTTAATGCAAGAGCCGGGTTATTCGGAGGCCGATTAATTCAGTTCTACCGTTATAATAACAATGATGGGCGTGTTAATGGACCCTCAATAGTCGACTCATGGTCCTCCGATCGTTTCCTGGAGTTTACGGAAGTTGGCGTCGATTTCCTCCAGTTCCGCAACCTCGACGAGCCTTTTTCTCTTCCTACTTTCTATACGGGTTGAAGGATAGATCGGGAACAGAGGCCTTGAGCTCATTCACCCAATTCTGGACCCGACAATATAAATATCCGTAACATGTTACGTAAAAACTGCCGGAAGACTTCCTGAAATGTAATTTGAGAAGGAAACGAAAAAAAAAAAACTCGACATCGTAACGCGCAAATGAACAAAAAATACCGAGAAAAATATTTGGAGGTTTCCAGGTAATTCTTGGAGGTCATTTTCTTTGTTTGCTTGGAATAGCATTACAATGTTTTATTATGTAATGTGGTTTTAGCAGACATTTGATGACAACCCAAGGAAAATAAATCCCTAGACTAAAATCGCCCTTCTCGCGATTTCCTGGAAAAACACGAGCTTGTTATTGAATAAATTTAGCCTGTAAAATCAGACATAAGCCTAAACAAATTTCTGATCTCTACTCTGAAAATTGAATCCTTGTTGGAAAAATTGAGTCCTTGTTGGAAAAATTGAGTCCTTGATCAGCTGAATTTTGTTCCCTCTCATCTCTCCGAGGATTCGAACAGGTAAAAATTGCACAAAAATTCACGGCCAAAAACTCAGCAAGCATTCTTATATACATTCGAAGACGTTTTCGTTCTCATGATCGTAATCGAAGACTCATCAACAAAAAAAGCCTTGTAAAGTAACCATTTCGGGAAAACAACGCAAAAAAGGACAGAACGAAGATTCGTGCTCATTTCTCATGATTTTGCTGATGTAAAGTCGATTTTGTGAGATGCTATTCGTAGAATAGTATGTTACATAACTTGTATATTTTATAGCTTATGGAAAATGCAATGTTTAATAAAAGCTCCATTTTCGTAATTAAAATGAGTAAGAATCGCATTAATTTCTATCCGTTTCACCGAGTTTCAAGTGACCCATTTCTTTAGAGAAGCATTTCTGTTGGGCAAAGGGTTTGTTTCACGCATGAAAAATGGGTTGTGAAAGACGAAGTCTGTTTTAAATCAAATATGCGTAAGAAGAAAAAAAAAAACTTTTGTCGATTCCCCTGCTGGGGTGATTTTTTTCCCCGGATTATTTTCGTCTGGTTTATTTTCTCGCGGGGTAATTTTCGCCCGGTTGCCAATTTTCTGACACATTTAAAGCACTCTACCGCGTCGTGTGCGTTTTAAAACGAATTTCGAACCTCAAATTCAAAAGTCGCGTTTCGACGTTTCCGTGTGAAGAACCTTCTGTTCGTTGAGTGCGTGTCACGCGGTATACGAGGCTAACAACCAGTTAATAAGGGAGGAATGTCTGGAACTTTCTCTGCTTCGCCATTAAAAAAAAAACGAGGAATAATCAGAAATTCCACGGTGGTTATGTAACTCGTCGTCAGTGCGCACAAACGTTCGCAATCATTATTTTTCAAAACTAGTGAGACCTCTCGGTTGCTGAACACAAATTGATGATGGGATTGACTCCGATTAATGTGAAAGCTTCTTCGCGGAATACCGGAAGGAATTAATAGTCTCAAACGAGCTTTGGAATGAATCACAAATGATTGACAGTCTAATTTCACAATTCACTGCTTCATGGGCGATGATGTGAAACCGTTGGCTCGAACAATAAAAACTATGTTTCGAGGTTGAATCATTGCAAAACCACTGTTCAAGCGTGAATCACGTTTGAAGGTTTCTTTTCCCAGACGATTGAACACTTGCAAAAGATGCGACCATGAATTTTTTGGCACGAAGGACGGAACTGGGAAAATTCTGGGTTTATTTCTCAGACTCCTAGACCAATTATATCCGATCAAATTTTTGCTTTCGTCCAAAAATGACTGGAATAAAAAAATATTTTTGTCATTCCTCTTTCAAGCTGTGTCCCAATTTATTATTATATGTACATTAGCTTAGTAAGATCAACAGGTACCTTTGAAAAACTGTACTATTATAGATGCATGAGAAAAATTTTCCATGTACATTTTAAAATAGGATGAAGAGCATTTAATCTGCCCTCTTTCTGCAGGCATTCAAGACTCCATAAAAGAAGCAGGCAAAATGTTTTCAATGCTTGGAGTGGTATTTCAGGATTTTTGAGAATTTTGCTCCAAATTTCATCGCGAAAATTTCTTGATAATATAGTAAGAAATTTTTAAATATTCATATGGCCGCAGGATTCAGATTTCCTTTCCCAAATGTGTGCTCTCATCTAAGTGGAGCAAATTTGAGTTATTGAAAATTCTCCTCATAGCCATTGAGTATACAGAAGTTGCATAGGAACAGCGCTTTTTATACCTAGATATGCGGGCAATGTCATTGGTAAAGTATAATGATTATATGGGATTAGTCAAAAATTCAAGGAAATGATAAAAATTGGTCACATAATATCTTCCCTTGACTGGATCTCTTTCCATCGACATTAATTTGGTTATAGATCGAAATACAATCTCAGCGAACCACGCGCAAGAGTACCTCTGTGTTTAAACACGATTTTTTCTCAAGAAATT